GGTGAGCGTTGTCTGGGCTCACTCCAGCGCCTCACTGAACCCGAGACAGGAAGAGAATCAGCTCAGGGGGGACCGCATGCAGTCATTGTCCACAACCAATGGTATGGAAGGGAGGAAGAACGTGTAAGCTACACTGGAGGCTTTGGCAGAAACAAGGCTCTGGGAACTCACAAAATACCAATGGTAACGTTTCACCAAACTGATGCAATGCTGGCAGCCCCACGGAATTTGGAAGGCGGCTATCTGGCCAAACAACTGGATGCGGTTCCTGTTTGTGCCCGTTCCCGAGAAAGGTGGTCCAACAGAATGCAGCAGTTATCTAACCTTAGTCTCTAACTAACTCTCACACACAAGTAGAATTCTTCCGAAGATCCTTCAAACGTGGTTGGAACAGTCTGTCAATAGGAAGCCGCCATGTTCAGAAGAGGGCGCGCATTGCTGGTAGCCCAATGGATCGTGGGTAACGGTGGAGAATCCCGGGACATTTGCCAGTGTCTGACTAGACAAAGCCGTCTGACTGCGTGCAGCTTAGCAAATTATGGGTAAAATTTCTGGAACACTGAGTAACGTTCACGTGGGACCTGCAAGAAGGGCCAAGAGACTTCATGGGAACAGACGAGGGGCTACCCATGCACCGGGGCTGTGTCATCTCCTCTGTGCAATCTATGTGCTGAGCACATAGTGTGACTATCGCAGTCCAGCCAGAATCTGCACCCCATGGTACAGAGCACGGCATCAGGACCAGAGCTGTATCAGTTTTAGGGGAAAAGTGAAGGGAAAATACACGTGGGTGAAGCCTCTGGTGAGCCCCCTCTGACACAGACCAGGGCTGCCAGTAGCCTTGCTATCATAGAGTACAGTGGAGAGTGGCTGGTGGCCGATTCGGGTAGTTAAAATTCAAGGCCTTGTAACTCATTTGACTCATTTTCAAGCCCTAGTGTTTAATATTTCCTGCTTTCTTTTCGATTGAGGTTTTTCCTCTATTTTGTTATTGTTGTTAGTTTTCGTTTTTTGCGTTTGTATGTTTTCTGGTCTGTGAAATCCAGGATGGGGGGAACCGATAAAGACGGGAACCCCATCAGTGGTTTCCAGGGGAGGCTTCCAGGAAGTGGGGCGCTAATAACAAGGGATCCAAGAAAGAAGGGAAGGTGCTAAAGTGGGCTGTGGTGATGTTATCGGACTGCCAGGGGTCCAGAGAGCCTGTCACTGTAGCCAAAAAGAGACCAGTTGGATTCGAGAAATTCTAAGCTTATTCCTGCACGTGCCTGCAGAAGGCAAACAGCCAACTTCTCCTCGGAGCTGCTGCAGAGTTTAGACTGACCCTACAAGTTAGGATACAAAAGACAGGCTCTTTTTCACAATGACCAAAGCGGGGAGATTGGCAGGTTCTACCTGCTCCTAGGACATTGCCTAGAACTACCTTTTTCCAGGGGCCATTAGATCACCATCCCCGGAAGCTTCGTGTTTCCCCAGACTAGGGTGGTGCTTCCCGTCTTACTGCTCCTTATCTTACCTCCTTCCCAAGTGGGAACATCCCAGCCGGTTAAAAATTCCTGCCACAGCATTTCTTCCTGGTCATTTGGTGTGTGTGTGACCTGACGCACACGTGGAAATGGTCCTTGTTGCTCTCCTGAGCTAACAGCCCTCCGTCTGTCTTCTCGCCCGCTCACTTTCAGGTGTCTTGGCTCGTCCAGGGTGGTGACCAGTGACTGTCTTCCGGGGCGTTCTTGGCCCCGCCCTGTGGTTTGCCACCCGAGGGTTTCTCTCCCAGATCGACTGCTTCTCCGAGTGTCTGCCCTGTGGTCCTCCCTCACCTGATGGTTGGCCCTGGGCTCCTCAGCGGAGCCAGTCCACCTTTTCTGGAACACTCCACCTGAGCGGTCCCTCCCCTCTCTCCCCACAGATCATGACCAACACCAGCAGGACCCAGGCCAAGCCACGGAAGGGCCCGGCTGCCGCCGTGCAGTGGAGCTCGGACGAGCCCCTGCGGCGGCCCGTCACCCCCGGCGGCCACCGGATGGGGCCCCCAGTGTAAGTCCGGGCGAGAGGAGGTGGGGCTGGCATTTCTGGTGCTTCGTCTTGCTGAACGGCAGCATGAGATGTACGCCGTAGACGTGTGAAAATAAAACATAAGTGTTGAGAAGCCATTCTCTCATGATTTCTCTTCCTGGGACCTTTGGCAGGGAACGCGCACTCCCAGGATGCGTCTTCCCGACAAAGGGCCTCCAGGGCCACTTCTTGCCATGATCCAGCAGAGGGCAAAGGTCGGCCAGTGTCACAGCGCCACACCTGCACACCTCCCCACGGTGCAGTGTTGGGGAGAAGGCCCCAGAGGAAGTGTGTTTTATAAAGACCCCATTACTGGGTCTTCAACAGGACAGTCAGGGCATGCAGATGAGGGGGCCCCAGCAGAGGCCATGGTCGTGTGCGCCACGCCCTAACCAAAGAAACGTGTCCCCGAAACCATGGTTGGCAGCGGATGGATTCAGGGAGAGAGGGACCGTGATCAGGATTTGAACCATGAAGGCTACGGCAGATTCGAAAAAGGCTCACGGATGGGTTCTGGGTCCCTCCAACCACTGTGTGGTTGGGGGGCGTGACCAGTCATCGGACACCCAGGTTTCTGTCAAGGGCGCGCCCCTGAGGCCAAGACTTTCAAAGACACTCTTCCCGAGGACAAGGCTTTTTATATAACAACAGAGGCTGAATGTATGCTAATCCGTAGCTTGGACCTGGGGCTCCCACTTTACACCGGAGTTCTCTGCTCCTGGGAATCGGGGGTCGAGAACTAAAGCCAACAGCATGCAGGTGCAACTGCATGTGCTCCCTCCAGACCGTCCCCTCCCCCTCTCCCTTGACCTGCTCAACCGGGGCATCCCAGACACAGGCAGCAGGCGACAAGGGGGCAGAGTGAAGCCCAGGCATTCTCTGGGGCCAGTCCGACAGGCCTCCCCACGCCCTTCAGGGGCCAGGTTTCCAGCCCACTCCAGTAGAGCTCCCTGGTGCACGCCCATCCGGCCGGAGAGTGAGCCCCGGGAAGCTCCTTGATCAAACCAGAGAAGCTTAGTCCCAGGCCCCCCTAGGCGGGTCTTTGACACGCCTAGATTCGTGTCTCAGGAGCCCAGGTGGGGCCCTGGGTACGTGCGAGCGCACCCACCAGCACCTCGCTGCAGTAAGACTTCAAGTTTCCCCTCTGGTCAGAAAGACCCTGTGGGGCCCTTCTGTCACGTGGGGTGCTGTGAGTCAGAGTCCACTATGCTGTTCCCTGCCCCCACCCCCACCCCCACCCCAGAGAGGCCTCTGCCCTGGTCTGGGCAACCCTACGTTACGGTGCCAAGAGACACGCTGGAACCAGGGGTATGAAGAGCAGACTGAAA